AGTTTATTATTTTTATTACTGAGTAGTATTCCACAATGTAGATATACCATAATTTGTTTGTTCACTGACTAGTGGATGGACACTAGTTTTTAACTATCATGAATAGAGCAGATTTGAACATTTACATTTTTGTGAGAAGACATGTTTTCATTATTCTGGGAGAAGTATATAGAAACAGTAGCATTTGGTTGTACGGTAAGTGTATGCTAAACTTTGTTAAAAAAGGGATAAATGTTTTCCCAATGCTTGGTGTGTCATTGTTGATTGTATCATCAGTGTAAATTCCATCAACAATGTATAAGCTGTCCAGAGGTATCATGCTGTGATCTTACATTTCCCTGGTATCTAATGATGTTGGGCATGTTTAAATGCATTGCCTATTTGTACATAATTTTTGTCCATTTTCTATTGTGTTGCTTCTCCACTAAATTTTTTAAATTTCATTTTATTGTTGTAAGAACACTTAGCTGAGCTCTAACCTATTTCCAACTTTTTAAGTGTACAATACGTTATTGTTGACCACAGGTACAATGTTGTACAGAAGCATTCTAGATCTTATTCATCTTGCTTAACTGAAATTTAAGCCCATTAATAACCAATTCCCCATTCCCCCTCTTTGCAGCTCCTGGAAACCACCATTCCACTCTTTGATTTTATGAATCTGGCTATTTTAGATAACTCACATAAGTGAAACCATGCAGTATTTGTCTTTCTGTGACTGACATCTTTCCCTTAGCGTAATGCTCCAAGGTTCATCCATGTTGTTGTATATTGCTGAATATCTGTCTTTTTAAAGGCTAAATAGTATTCCATTGTATATATACACATTTTCTTTAGCCGTTGATCTGTCAATGAATATTTAGGTTGTTTCTACATCTTGGTTATTGTGAATAGTGCTGCAATGAACATGAGTGATAATATCTTTGATAAATGTATATGTCTTACATATACTTATATATATATATACCACACTGTTTTCATTACTGTAGCCTCATTGGAAGATTAGTAATCAAGTAGTGGTAGTCCTTAAATATTGTTTTGTAAAACAAAAAAATGGCTATTCTGGTTCCTTTGCATTTCCATATAAATTTGGAAATCAGTTCATCAATTTCTACAACCAAAATGTGTCCTGGGATTTTGATTGGAATTGCATTGAACCCATAAGTCGTTGGCGATAATTGGCCTTTAAAAATAAAAAACAAAAATAACGCATCTTCCGATTTATGAATATGGAATGTCATTTAATTTAATAGTCTTCTTTGAATTTCTCTCAGCATGTTTTGTAGTTTTCAGTCAAAGGTCTTGCACATATTTTGTTATATTTATCTATATCATATCACAATTGGTATTTTTATTTAAATACCTAATCATTTATTGCTAGTATAAAGATATTGATGTTTTCACACTGACGTTTATAGTGTGAACTTGCTAAACTTAGTTACTGGTTCTATTACCTTCTTTGTAGTTTCTTTATGAATTTTTACATGCATGATTACTTCTTCTGTAAAGACAGTATTATATCTTTCTTTTAAATATCTATGTGCTTTAATTTTTTTCTTATTTTACTTGCCAGGATCTTCACTACAATGTTGAATAGAAGTATTAAGAGAAGACACCTTTGCCTTATTCCCTATCTTAGGGGAAGACAATTAGTAATTCACCTTTAAATGTAATGTTAGCTGTAGGTTTTTCACAGATTTCTTTTAGCATATCGAGCAACTTCCTTTCTATTTCTTGTTTATGTGGTATTCCTGGGGTGAACTCCACTTGTATTTGATATATTGTCTTTTTTTTTTTTTTTGGTGAGGAAGATTGGCCCTGAGCATTATAACATCTGTGTCAATCTTCCTCTATTTTGTATATGGGTCACCTCCACAGCATGGCTTGATCAGTGGTGTAGGTCTGCGCCCAAGATCCGAACCCACGAACCCAAGCTGCTGAAGAACCCAGAATGCAGGCTGAACTCAACCACTATGCCACTGGGCCAGCCCCTATTGTCGTTTTTATATATGAATAAATCTGATTTTGTAATATTTTGTGAAGGAGTTTTTATTTCTATTTCTCAGGTCTATTATCCTCTAATTTTGTTCTACAGTTAAGTCTTTTTTTTTTTTTTTTGATTTTGGTGTTTGTGTAATCCTGGCCCATAAATGACATGGTGATTAGCCACTCATCATCTATTTTGTGGAAGACAATTTATAGAATTGGCAATATGTATTTTATATCTTTTTAAGGCATGGTAGAATTTGATAGTGAAGTCATTGGACCTGAAGTATGTTATGTGGGAAGTTTTTTTTTGCTATTAAATCTATGAATTTATTTTATTTAATAGCTTATAGGGACATTCAGGTTATCTATTTCTTCTTAAGTGAACTTGAATTGGTTGCAGCTTACTGAGGAATCTTTCATTAAAATTACCTACTTTATTGGAACAAAGTTTTGATAATATTTCCTTATTATTCTTCATCGTCTTTAGAATATTAATAACTTGCTTTCTTTCATTCTTGGTATTATTAATATGTATCATCTTTTAATTTTCTTTATCCATCTGTAGTTTAGGAATTTTATTGAACTTTATAAAAACTAACATTTGGTTTCATTTATTATTCTCCATTGTTTTTCTGCTCCATATTTCATATTTGATCTTTATTATCTTCTTCCCTTTATTTGCTTTGGGTTTAATTTTCTCTTCTTTTATTAGTTTATAAAAATGGGAGTTTAGATTATTGACTTGAGATCTTGTTCACATGTAATATGAACATTTAATGTTATTTTATTTCTAAGCACTGTCTTGGTTGTATCCTACAAATTTATGTTGTTTTTGATTTTTATCCATTTCAAAATATTCTAAATTCCCTATATGGATTTATAGTATATTTATAGTTGATTTACAGTACATTAATAATATATTGATTTATATAGTATATATATCAAACCCTTAATATATGTTATATATACTATATTATATAGTATATTGATTTATAGTATACTTAGTTGTCAGAGAACATACTTTGTATGAATTCTGTCTCTTTAAATTTGGTGCTATTTGTTATATAGTCCAGAGTATAGTCTATCTTGGTAGATATTACATGTGCACTCGGAAAGAATGTGTATTCTACTGTTGTCATGTGGAATGTTGCAAAAATGTCAACGAGGCCAAATTTGTTGATAATGCTGTGTAAGTCTTTAATATACTTAGCAACATTTTTTGTCTATGTTCTATTGATTACTGGGAGAGAAATATTGACATCTTCAAATATAACTGTGGGTTTGTATATTTCTCCTTTTAGTTCTATCCATTCGCATTATGGGTTTTGATGACATTATTAGGTACATGCACATTTAGGACTGTAACAGATTCTTGATGTGTTTACCGTGTTATCATTATGCGATATCCCTTTTTATCACCGCTAATTTTCCTTATTCTGAAGTCTACTTTGTCAATATATATAGAACCATTAAATCTTTCCTTTGATTACTGTCTGTATGAATTATTTTCCCATTCTTTTACTTTCAATTTATCGATGTTTTTGTAGATTTCTTATAGACAGCAAATTTTAGGGTCTCATTTTTATATCTAATCTAACAGACTCTGCCTAGTAATAAAAGTGTTTACATTACTTATTTTTATAAAAATTTACATGGTTAGGTTTAAGACTACATCTTGCAATTTGTGTTATATTGGACTCATCTGTTTTTGGGGTTTTTAAAATTTTTCTTTTTTCACCTTCCTTGGCTTAATCATCATTTATTGCATTTAAAAGAATAGTAGAGATTGAGATAAATATTATCTATTCCTCCAAATAGGTATTCCTCTTCTGTTGCTATTCCTTTAGTATGAGTGGTCGCACCAATTTAGTCAGTAATCAGGCTGAATTTGGTTTAGGTTATTGTTATAGTTACTGTCAGTACACCTCTGACTCCACATTTCTCCAGTGGTAGGCTACTGATCCATTCCACTTAGTGTGAGGTCTAGAGTGTCAGCATTTGTTTTTCTTAGTGTTCTCCTTTCATTCTCAGCTTTCTGCAGGCTCTTTACTCCTACATCGCAGGAGAAGGCAAGGCACATATTCAGGTCTTGGATGGGAGCAAGTTTTCTTCCCCTACCATGGTGGCAGCAGATGTCTGTTTTGTTTCTGGGCATGAAGTGGTTTCTCGTCCCTCCACCAGCAGCAGATATGTTTCCCTAGTTACAGTGCTGGGGATGGGACAGTCCTGCAGCCTCTGAACTTCACCTGGAAGGAGGGCAAGGAAGTGCCTTGCTCCTCCCCTACAGCAGACAACTTTTGCTTCGACTTCTCTTTCAGTGGCGGCTGATCTGATCTTTGCCTAGGACAGGGAGCAACAAAGGTTTGTTTTGTTTGTTTGTGTGTGTGTCTGTTTTTTGCCCCTCCCTAAGAGGGAATTAGCTTGTACTTCATATGAAAGAAGGGTTGAGAAGCAAGTCATTTTTATGCCTGTCATCTAGTCACAGCTAATCATCACCTGTACAGCTGTTCCATTAAATCACTCTTTCAAGTCACCTCTCTGGCCTCCAAGTTTTCACTTGAGCAACCACTAGAGGCCTAAGGAAAAGAGCTAGCAAGTCAGAATGGCTTCCTCATGAGTCTGATCTGTCATGCTAGCCCACACTCAGACTTTAAACCTTCATTATAATTTCAGATATTTTCTTTTCACCTATTTTTATGGCTGATTCCTATTCTTACCATGCTCTTTTATAAGTAAAACAGTTTGTGATTCCCATCTCTCATCAAAGGGGCTTGTCATCTTTTGGAATTTCATTCATCCAATTGCCTTGTGATCTAAATTTTCTGGTAACAACAAAAAGTTAGGATTTTGTATATTGTGTTTTTTGTTTCTTGTTAAAGATGGGAACAACATCTTCTTGTGGCTTTCTACATCCTACCCAGAAGTAAAACCTAGTAAATGTATTTTAAATTACATTATCAATTTTTATATTATAAGCATACAATTGATTTTTAATTGAACTTGTATCTAGTTGCCCTTCTAAGTTTAGCTTATTGCTGATCTAGGAACTCCAGGTTAATGTTTTAACCAAGTCTAGAACATTTCAGATGGCATTATTTCAAATGTTTCTTGCCCCTCCTCTCTTTTATCTGTGACTGTGATTACAGTTGATATTGTCCCACATGTCACTGACACTCTGTTAATTTCTTCCAATCTTTTATTTCTCAGTGTTTCAGTTTAGATATTTCTAAAAGTCCTGTCTTTAGGTGAAGCAATCAGTTATTTCTTCAGTTTAGATATTGTATTTCTCAATTCTACATTTTCTAATTGATTTCTATCTCTAATTTACTTTTCTACATTTTTCCTAAAATATTTACAATAGCTGTTTAAAGGGGCTTGGTTTTAGAATTTATTATATCAAGCCTCCTTTTTTCTTTTTCCCTTAGCCCTAGAATATAGCACACCATTTATAGGTGGTTTATTCCTAAGGTTTGTCCCATCTGGAGTTTCAGTGGAGGCTCAAGGTGTTTATCAACTCCTCTAAGTTGGCTGGACTTGAACTCTATTCTTTGTTTTCACAACTGCGTAGTTTATATATTCTCCTCTCAGCTCTTTAATCTTATAGCTGTTACGTATCGCTGCATTCATTGCAGTCTCTCCTGGTGTGTGTGCAGTTTAATAGCAAAATATTTGAGGGCTATGTGTTTGCAAATTCTTCAGCTTTCCCCTTTGTCAGACTTCCCTGTCCATTTCCGAGTGGTCTGGCAATCTTAAATTACATACTTGACTCCTCCTTCCTTGACACTGCTGCTGATTTTCTCCTGCATTTTATTCCCCAGGTATAGTGAGAACTGGTGGGGTGGGATAATGCTCTGTTTTGATTTGCCTCTTCCTTACCCTTTTGGTGAGGGAGGGCTTCCTGCCCCAGGGTTAAGGGGATGGCTGACCGCATGACACCCAACACTGGACAGATGGGATTGACGACTGTTTGTTGGTCAAATATACTCATGACCTGGAGGAGGAGGGCACGACATGCCATGCAAGGCCCCAGGGAGGTTGTGTAGGCACAAAGTGAACAACCAGGGCCTGTGGGGGCTGGGCATTATAGTATCAGGAGGAGAGGGCATGCCCCCTGGTCCTCTGGGAAGAGTTGATTGGCTTGTTTGAAAAATTTTGCAGGCTGCAGGGAGTTGAAACCTCTTACTCAGTGATAAGCAGGAACTACACCTACTCCCTTTAATAAGGAAGGCTTTTTGGCTGAGGGACCTGATCTGTGGGAGCAGAGTTGTGAAGGAAATTTGTGGTTAGACTATTCGAGGCCCTCCCAATTTTACTAGATATTGAAGTAGCACATAACATTAGACCTTAATCTGAGGCCTTACACTACATGCTCTAAGCAGAAAAGCCAGTTAAAAGTGGATCTCTCATGGTGAGATTCAGAGTGTGAGTCATTGTTTTCAAAGGTTATATACCTTCTAGCTTCTCTCTGCTTTTGATCACTCTTCAGTGTGTTGAAAAGGTTTTTATTTTCATATTTGGTCAATAATTTGTAATTGTCATTGGGAAGAGGTTTCGTCCTCCACACCTTTCGGAAGAACATGTGTCATTGATTTATTATTCTTCAGTATTTTATTATGAAACTGTTCAAACATATAGAAAAGTTAAAAGGATTATATAGGGAACACACATAAGCCCACTGTATAGATTTTACAATTAACATTTTTCTACATTTGCTTTGTTACACATCTATTTATCTATTCATTCTTATATCTATTTATCAATCTTTATTTTTTTTTGGAATAAGTCACCTGTGATTTTTTTTGTTGAAGTATAATTGACATACAATATTATATTAGTTTCAGGTGAACAATATAGTGATTTGATATTTTTATACTTTACGAAATGATCATCATGCCAAGTCTAGTTACCATCTGTCATCATACAAAATTATCACAATATTATTGACTATATTCTCTATGCTGTACATTACATCCCTGTGACTTATTTTATGACTGGAAGTTTTTACCTTTCGATCCCCTTAACCTATTTCACCCATTCCATTGTCCTCCTCCCCTCTGGCAGCCATTAGTTTGTTCTCTGTATCTACAAGTCTGTTTCTGTTTTATGTTTGTTCATTCATTTTGTTTTTTAGATTCCACATATAAGTGAAATCATATGGTATTTTTCTTTCTCTATCTGACTTATTTCACTTAGTGTAATACCCTCTAGGTTCATCCATGTCGTTGCAAATGGCAAGGTTTCATTGTTTTTAATGTCTGAGTAATATTCCATTGTGTATATATACACCACATCTTCTTCATCCATTCGTCTATCGATGGACACTTAGGTTGTTTCCATATCTTGGCTATGGTAAATAATGCTGAAATGACCATAAGAGTACATATCTCTCTTTGAATTAGTGTTTTCATTTTCTTTGGATGAATATTCAGAAGTGGAATTGCTAGATCATATGGTAGTTCTATTTTTAATTTTCTGAAGAATGCCCATACTGTTTTCCATAGTGGTTGTACCGACTTACATTCTCACCAACAGTGCATGAGGGTTTCCTTTTCTCCACATCCTCACCAATACTTGTTATTTCTTGTCTTTTTGATAATAACTGTTTGGACAGATGTGAGGTGGTATCTCTTTATGGCTTTGATTTGCACTTCTCCGATAATTAGTGTTGTTGAACATCTTTCACGTGCCTGTATGTCTTCTTTGGAAAAATGTATATTCATGTCCTTTGCTCATTTTTTGATCAGATTGTTTGTTTTTTTGATATTGAGTTGTATGAGTTCTTTATATATTTTGGATACCATCCCCTTATCAGATATATCATATGCAAATATCTTCTTCTATTCAGTAGCGTGCCTCTTCACTTTGTTGATGGTTTCCTTTGCTGTGCAAAAGCTTTTTAGTTTGATGTAGTCCTATTTGTTTATTTTTGCTTTTGTTGCCCTTGCCTAAGGAGACATATCCAAAAACATATTGCTACTACTGACATCAAAGAGCTTACTGACTTCATTTTCTTCTAAGAGTTTTATGGTTTCAGGTATTACACTCAAGTATTTTAACCATTTTGAGTTTATTTTTGTATATGGCATAAGAAAGTCGTCCAGTTTCATTCTTTTGCATGCAGCTGTCCAGTTTTCGCAGCCCTATTTATTGAAGAGACTGTCTTTTCCCCATTGTATGTTCTTGCCTCCTTTGTAATAGATTAGTTGACCACATAAGCGTGGGTTTATTTTTGGGCTCTCTATTCTGTTCCATTGATCTATTTGTCTGTTTTTGTTCCAGTACCGTACTGTTTTGATTACTATAGCTTTGTAGTATAGTTTTAAATCAGGGAGTGTGATGTCATCAGCTATGTTCTTCTTTTTCAAGGTTGCTTTGGCTATTCAGAGTCTTTTGTGGTTCCATATGAATTTTAGAATTATTTCTTCTAGTTCTGTGAAGGACCTACAACTAGGATATCAAACTATGTATTGGGGCTTTGGGGAGGAAAAAAAAAAAAGAAAGAATTCTTCATATGGGGCCAAAGTTAGCAACTACAATATAAAATATTTTGTAGTCATTTCCATATGCAAATTTGCATTTTATAAATGTAGACTTGCATAAGGTCAATCTTTCTATTTAGCCCTTGAGAGTAAATTTGACCTATGCTTGAATTCCATTTTTTTTGTTTGTTTGTTGTTCTTTGATTCGTTATAAATAATACCCTGAATAATATTGCCAAACTCTTTTAAAAAGTCATAAAAAGCTTTTTTTTTGACTATTCTAATTAACATTTTATTATTAATGGAATAACTGGAAAACTCAGTAATTATTGGCTGTGTCAGTATTTTTGACAGCTCTCCTAATTTTGTACTCAAGAGAAAAATAATACCTTATCTTGTCCCCTTTGCATAATTAATAGACAAAGAGTCATTCATCATCTTTTGACTGGTAGTGCATGATGAGGTCAAGGCCGTCAATCAATATTCTTGTTCTTGAACATTGTTTGAACCTGACAACAAGAAATCCTCAATAAGAAGATAAAATTTGCCAGTAATGTGAGTGTTTGTTTTATATAGACTACACAAAGGTGTTAAGCTCTTGAGACAGTAATCGCTTTTTTGGTATGGTGGCGTTAAGAACATACTTAGATTTAAAGTGATATCCTGAGCATGAATCATTCTGTTTCTTGATCTGCAATATTGGCAATCATCAAAGCTATTTTTCATAATATCCTTTAGTATATTTCAACGTCAGAATATGTTTCACTGTGACTGACTGTCGCTGCACTACGAAAGCTTTAAGAAGACAGGTTCTCCTGTCTCAGTGGAATTCTAAGACCGGGAGCATCTTCTGCCTGTCACTTTCGGTCTATAATTTAGATTTTTAAAAGGTGGGTGGAGACAGCCTGTTCATAATTTTACTTCTCAACTGAAACTTCATTCAGAAATCTGCTCTTGACCATAAAATAACATATTTTTAAGTGACCTATACTTGACCTATAGTGTCAATATATATAATAAAAGGAAAGTGGACTTGCAGGCTATTCATATCCAATTCTAGTGATAATAACAATGAAATCTTTAGTACAAATAAATGTCATTTCATTTTAGGAAAGTAAAGCCACATGTTAAATTAGAATCATTAACATAATCAAAAATTAATTTTGCTGAATATTGAATCTTTATATTTCATTCATTAAAAAATGGTGCCACTTTTTAAAACAGTAGTTTCATTAAAAATGTTTATCAATCAATAGTCTGTAACAATTACCATATTTGGTTAATTATGCATTACATCAGTGTTTATATTATTTTTGAGACACCATATATTTTATACTCCATCATATAAAGGAAATATGTGTCAGCTGGGTTTATAGAACTGAATAAAATTTTTCAACTGAAGAAATTCTACACATCATTGAAGAAATCATACACTCTTCATGGAAGATGTGTCCTCTCTATTGATCTCTAAAGAAATACATGATTCAGGCACGTGGGTATGAAGGAGATGATATCTAGTGAAATAATGAGCTTAGAAAAAATTTTATTTCCTAAATTAATTTTGTGCAATCAGCTTAGGCTGAGGAGAAACAGATGTTGGTAACATTTTACCAATTTTCTTCTCAAAAACCATGTTACAAACTATGTGTCTGTGTTTTTTTTAATTTTTATATGTTGGTTTTGCCTCTGGTATTAATAATTTTTGCATGAATTTGATTTTTTTATTTTTTTTTTTCTGAGGAAAATTCACCCTGAGCTAACATCTGTGCCAATCTTCCTCTATTTTGTATGTGGGTCGCCACCACAGCATGGCTGCCAACGAGTGGTGTATGTCCACTCCTGGGAATCACACCTGCACTGCCGAAGTGGAGTGTGCCGAACTTAACTGCTAGGCCATGGGGCCAGCCCCATAAATTTGATTTTTTGATAGTTCATGATACTACAAGCAATATGTACTTGTTTCTCTTATTTGAGTTTTACCCTAATCTTTACGAGACAGATCCCAAGGTAACCAGTCTAAAGCAGAAACGCAGAAAAGGTATTTTTAAAACTATATTTATATAAAGATAGAAAAATATTTTTTCGCCTGTAAAACTGGATAGAAGATGAAAGCAAATAGTACTTATTTGTGGATAAATTTTCAAACTAATGACAGTGGAAAGAAAAGATTCTTACTTAATAATACTTTCATCTTTAGAAATATAAACGAATTTCTTTTTTATTATTAAAAAATATAACGAAGTGGTAAAAGGAATTATCAGTTTTGAGAATCCTGTGGGGATAAAACTGTGGACGAAATAGGAACAAGAGGGATATCTACTAGGAACTTATATCTCATTTTCAGAATTCAATAAAATAATCACTAATTTCTTAGAATAAATGATGTATTACAGTGGTACATAGAAATGGATTTGTACAGATGGATTTTTTGAAAGCCACATAACTTTTTTCCCCTCATTTTCATGAGGCAGAAGAACTATGTACTGAGACCTCTTGTAAAAACTGTATTGGCTTATTGTAGGTATCCGCAACTCGATGCTTTGATGTCATTATTGCCCACCTGGGGCCGCCCTTGTTTGGTGGAGCATCAGTTGTCTTTGGTTCTCTTTTTCTGACCCCTGGTTTCTCACTGCAACAAAAACACTATTTCGTTGCTATTATTAGATATTGGAGAGACAATGTAGCCTGCTCTTCTGTGTGACATGCCTATGATTTAAACATTGTGACAGCAGGAAGACAGCTTGAAGAGAGAATTTTGAGGAAGAAACTAGTTACATTTTTCTAAAGAGTTCTTAGGCAGTTTCAGGGTATTCAAAGCAGATTTACATCTGCCCACTTTGTTTTCTTTGCTAAATCGTGTTTGCTTAAAAATTGTTACAATTAATCTGAAGTGTTTTCCATGTCTCTTACATAGTTTGTATACTCTAGGAGAACTTTCTTATGGTTGCTTTGTCTGCAGTATCTCTAGGTAACTAACGGAAAAGATCCCTGATGAAGAGTTTTGCATCACTCCTTTGCACACACCCTCAACTCCCTGGCCCCTTTTCTGTTTCATCACACTCACCTAGAACCCTTTCTTCCATTTACATCCTGCTCCGCACTCATTTCATCGATCCAAATTTATCACTCTCTCTCTCTCAAACACTGTCTTCACTTGGCTAGGGATAATACACTCAATATTTTCCTTCTATCTCACTGGTCCTTTTTCTAAGGCCCCTTTGGGTGGTTTTTCTATGTCTCTGTAATCTCTAAATATTGGAATGCCCTTGGGCTCAGTATTCACACCTATTTATTTTCTTCCGTTGGTGTTCTTAGCCAATTTTTCCTCTCTAAGTACCAGGTATATAATGATTTCTAAATGCACATTCCCAGCCCAGTTCTAAACTGTAAACCAACGTTGTCCAACAGAAACTCAGTAATACTGCAGTGTTCTGTATGTGCACTTTGCATTATGGTAACCACTAGCCACATATGGTTATTGTGTGATTGAAATGTGGCTAGCTAGTGAGACCAAGGAATTAAAAATTTAATTTATTTAATTTTAATTAATTTAAATTCAAATTGCCATGTGGCTAGTCGCTATTGTATCACACAGCACAGCTATAGACTAGTTATTGCTAACTGCTAACTCACCCTAATCACTTGGATGCCTAAGATGCAACATGGTACAACCATCACTCCTCTCTTTTTCTCATATCCACATCCAATATGTTAGAATATCCTGCCACTTTTATTTTAAAATCATGTCTAGAATCTGACCATTAAGACCATTTCAACTGTGACCACTCTCGAAAAATATGCACAATCATTTTTTACTCCATTTGAAATAACTGTGATAACCAGATCGTTTGTTACTGAGTGTTCAGATTTTCTTAACAGAGCAGTTAGAGTAGATTTCTGAAATGCAATCAGACCATGTCACTCCTATGCTCAACGTTTCAAATGGATTCCCATCTCGCTCAGTGTAAACGCCAGTTTCTCACAGTGACCTCCAAGGTCCTATACAATAGTCCCCCCTTATCCACAGTTTCACTTTCCACAGTTTCAGTTACCCCAGGTCAACCACGGTCCAAAAATATTAACTAAACAATTCCAGAAATAAACAATTCGTAAGTTTTAAATTGCATATTGTTCTGAGTAGCTTGATGAAATCTCCCGCCCTCCGGCTCTGTCCCACTAGGGACGTGAATCACCCCTTTGTCCAGCAGATCTGCACTGCAGAGCTTCCACCCGTTGGTCCCTTAGTAATTGTTTCTGTTATCAGATACACTGTCGCAGTATTACAGTGCTTGTGTTGAAGTAACCCTTATTTTACTTAATAATGACCCCAAGTTGCAAGAGTAGTGATGCTGACAATTCAGATATGCCAAAGAGAAGCTGTAAAGTGCTTCTTGGAAGTGAAAAGGTGAAAGTTCTCGACTTAATAAGGAAAGAAATAAAAATCATATACTAAGGTTGCTAAGATCTATGGTAACTTTTATTACAGTACATTGTTAAAATTGTTCTATTTTATGATTAGTTATTGTTGTTACTCTCTTACTGTGCCTAATTTATAAACTAAACTTTATCATAGGTATGTATGTATAGGAAAAAACATAGTACATATAGGGTTCAGTACTATCTGCATCCACTGGCAGTCTTGAACTATCCCCTGCAGATGAGGGGGCACTGCTGTGGTTGTTCCCCTTCCCTTAGCTCTCTGAACTCAGTGCCTGCTGCTCCCTCCCTTGTCCTCTCTAGTCTAGTCACACTGACTAACTGGGCATTCCTTGAACATATTAGGCATTCTCCA